TTCTAGACTCTCCTAATTCTGTTACTCGATACTAGAGGGCGCTAGTGGTAACTAGTGTTGCCATGTACCAGACATTAATGGTGGCGCTTAACACTATTTACTACACATTGAATAATACTAATTTTACGCATTTTATCACGTTTAATTTTAACTTTTTTAATTCTTAACGTTTTGGGAGGCTTACAGCACTTATGGTTACGGGGTACTAAGGACCGAAAAAGTTAAAGTTAAGATTTGTGCTTTGAATACACTTTGGATTTTTCTTTATAATTTATCTACAAGATATTGAAAGAATAATTCATTTCGACAATGATAGTCTTTCCGTTTTCCTGAACCGTCTCAAGCATTGGCCGATAATGTTTGAAAATCCAGAAATTCGTAATATGAGTACTAAGTATTTATCTTTTTTATTCTTATTTTTTATTAGCACATCATATTATACAATTACTTAAAGTAAAAACAAAAGTGCTACAATTACTTAAAGGTAAACTCCGCAAGCATATAATATATCCAACAGTATACATAAACAGAAGACAATAAATTGATCCTTGACTAACAATAAAAAATATCTAGTAGTAAGAATACTACAACACAAACTCGTTAAAAATACTTAAATCTATTTAACTTTACGCTTTTAACTTAAAGTTTTACAGATAGACGTAGAGAATATTCTGGGTGAATCAAAGAGAATGTCGACTTGATCGCTGTATCCATTAATTATTTTATGGGATCTGGCATGACGCTATGCGTTCGGAATTTCTCATTTTGTTATTCATTATATTCAAAAGCAATAGTAGGAAACCAGTTGCGGTCGAAGATGTATGGAGTTGTTTGTTCGAGACTCGCGTTGTGCTCATTAAGCGTCTGTTTAACGTCGTGGTCCTCACAACAATCCAGAGATAGAAAAGCATTTTTTTTAAAGGCGTAATCAAAAGTATTAATAGATATTAGTACATAAATATGAATAACCGAATTAAGGAAAACAAATCAAGAGTCGATAAACAATAAAAAGAGGTCGATTCTTTTATTTACCTTCTCTAGGATGAAATGTGTATTATACAGATATAAATTTTCTTGTCTTTATGACCTACCTTGATACAAGATTTAATAAAAAACCGCCCAAGTGCGAGTCAGCGAGTTGCATGAAGGGTTCCATACCATCATACAAGATTTAATACTATGCGTGTAAAAAAACACGTTTCTAGTTGGGAAGCCCCCTTTAATTTTTAATTTATTTTTGTTGTTGTTATAGTGGCAACAGAAATACACATTCTGTGAAAATTTCAACTGTACCTATTACGGATCATGAGATACAGCCCGCTGACAGACAGACGGACGGACGAACGGTCGGACGGACGGACGGACAGCGGAGGCTTATTAATAGGGTCCCGTTGGTTGCCCTTCGGGTACGGAAACCTAAAATACTCTAAGTAACAAAAGGATTGATATCAAATAGAGATAAAAACTCTATTATGTAACATTATTCGCAACAAGAGGAAATGTTACGAGTACAACGGCTCTTGCGATATACTCAACAATCCTTCTCTTATATTATATATGCAATATTTAAAGTTTGCAGTAATATTTGCAGTTTACCTGTTTGGCAAGGTTATACACACGTCTACGACTTTATATCGCCCTTTAAATCGTGGACTTTAGTTCTACGCAAAGGTCGAATAATTTGGAAAATCCAAAAGTGCACGCCTCATGACCGTTTTATTTAATTTTGATGAAAAAATAAATTGCGTTCCTTACTTTTAAAATATATTATTTACGTATTTAAAATTTAGCGTTCTATTATTTTAACAGGTAAGTGTTACCTACAGGGGAAATAATAATAATGTTTACCAAAATAAATTGAGTATACAAATACAAAGTATAAAATTGATATAGACTGTATGGTACATTTGCCCTTTGTCTATTAAAGGCTAAAAAATATGAAAGCAAATTTAAATTTTTAATAGCAATAAAGTTTATAAAATTTGAAAAGCATTTTATTAACAAATGCTTAAAATAAAATGCTTAAAACGGATGTAAGACAAAACGATTTACTCACTCACTGGCTTCATGTTTCAACTTAAGATTTCACATTAACGGTCAGTTTTTGGATGTACATCAGTTCAACTGATCATTTTAACTGACCGTGCGCCTGGAAAAATCATTGCATTGCTGTCATTTAAAATTTTTGACTTAAGATTACACACTCACTGTCAGTTTTCGGATGTACATCAGTTCAACTGATCAGTTTAACTGACCGTGCATGTCGGCCATAATAATATTTGTTGTTTATAAGGTTACGAGCTTGGTATTAGATACAATTAAAAACTGCTGATTGAATTACCAAAATTGACACTTTAATTACGGAACATTAATTACAACTTAAAACCACACTAAAAATAAAACACAATTGTACTACTGATTACTTTATTTAATTTCTAGAACATTCTTAACTCTCTTAGTTCTGCTACTCGACTCTAGAGGGCGCTAGAGGTAACTAGTGTCGCGATGTACCATGTATTAATCGTGGCGCGCAACACTACCCCCTCCTAAGACATGCTCGTCCCGAGCATTATTGACCCCATAATAACGCGCCAGTCGATCCACATGGATGATCTTAGGAGTACCTCTGGCACCTTTCTGTATCCGGTAGGTTACGTCATTGATGCTTGTCACAATCCGGTACGGTCCGTCCCATTTAGCTTGAAGCTTAGGAGATTTCCCTTTGCTGCGAGCTGGATTGTGTAACCACATTAGTGAACCTTCGTCAAACCCTTTGTTGTTCATTTTGCGGTCATACCGTGTTTTCATCTTCTCAGACGTTTGCTGGCCCGACTTTCTGACGTGCTCATAAATGTCATTCATTTTGTTCCGCAAGTCATTTGAATAATCGGTTATACTGCGTGGGGCATCAGATGGTATTCCGGTGATCAGATCTGCAGGCAGCCGTAATTCTCTCTCAAAGTTTGCGAAAGCTGGCGTCACTGATGTACTTTCGTGAACAGCGCTTCGATATGACAACAAAAATGGTTGTATGTGCCTGTCCCATTCTCGTTGCCGTTTTTCCACAACTTTTTCCAGGTACGTTTCCAATGTCTGATTAAATCGTTCTACCATTCCATCAGATTGTGGGTGGTAAGAAGTTGTTCTTGTTTTATGAGTACCCGTAACTCTACAAGTTTCCTGGAATATTTGAGACTCAAAATTCCTTCCTTGTTCGCTGTAAATCTCTAAGGGTACTCCAAAACAACAGAAGACTTCATGAACTAGTTTATCTGCAACTGTTGAAGCTTCTTGATTTGGAATGGCGAAGACTTCTGGCCACTTAGTGAAGTAATCCATCACAACCACTTTCACTTTTCGGAAACGGCCCTGCAACGTCAATGGGTATTCTCTCCCATGGTGCACCAACATTGTACAATTTCAATGCGCCTCTACTACGAATTTGAGGTACCTTTACAGCCGCACAACTTGTATATTTGCGGCACCAGTCCTCGACATTGTCACGACAGTGGACCCAGTAAAACCGTTCTCGGATCTTCAGTAGAGTTCTTTTAACTCCCAGGTGGCCTCCTGAACAACCACTATGGTACAGCCGTAGAACATCCGGTTCTTTAGCCTTAGGGACAATCATTTGCAAATGACATCTGTCTCCTCGACCATTTTCCCAGCACAGGACTCCATCCTGAATCAGCAAGCTGTCCCATTGGGCCCAATAGCTTTTCGTGGTCGAACTCATTGCTGAGACGTCGCTCCACTTGGGCTTAGGAGCACTGGCCTTCATCCATTTCAGAATCGGCTTAATGTCCGAATCTTCCTGCTGTGCATGTTGTAGGCTGTCCTTCCATTCATTGCTGAGCTGGTCTGTCCTGAGCATCCTCACAGATACCACTTCCTTACCCTCTTGCCTAGTAAAATGCTTGCAATCTTCAGGGCAAGGTCTTCTTGACAATGCATCTGCATTGCCATGAGATTTCCTGCTGCGATATTCGATCACAAAGTCGTATTCCTGCAGTAGTTCAATCCATCTCGCAACTTGTCCTTCCGGATTTTTGAACTGCAATAGCCATTTCAGTGCAGCATGGTCATTTCCGCCCCAGAAGATATTTGCTAAAATGCTGCAAGGACTTTAACCACAGCAAGCAATTCCCGTCTTGTGACACAATAGTTCCTTTCTGGATTTGACAACGACTTGCTGAAATACGCTATCACAATCTCTTGATCACCATTCCGTTGAGACAACACACCGCCAAGTCTTATATCACTTGCGTCTGTGTCAACTATGAATTCCTTGCCCGCATCAGGGTACCCCAAAATAGGTGTTTTGCATGTTTTGCACACACATTTGCTGTTTTCGCATTTTGTTGTTGAAACATACCAAGTGCATGCAAGTGATGTGCTTAGGACGTCTATATGGCAGTAGCTGTTGTCAAATGCAGTTTTTTAATTGAAACAGTATATGGCTATCCGACACCTTATTTTATTTTAGGTTTTTTTAAAAACAATTTTTGCTCAAGAGTGAGTTGTTTGTAAAACGAATAAAACTGACTACTCGTATTTTTTCGGTAGACGTCACACCGTAATGTGTCGTTTTTTGTACAGTTTCATGGGCACCGCGATGTACATGTGCTGAAGAACGGACATGTCATGTTTCGATCGCAAAAGTTTGAAATAATTCTAAAGTTTTGTAATATGCTATAAGTTTTTCTATCATGCATTTTCTGTATTTCTTTAAAATAGCCCTTTTCAATAACTGTGTGAGTTTGTTTGATAACTGTGTTTTTTATACGAAGTCACTGCAGCCACGTTGACATTGTATTATAGCTACGGTATGAATAGTACCATGAAACTACGCTTCTAAATAGACCGATGTGCGGCTTGCGAGTTTGCTGGCGAGAGAGCCTCACTCTGGTCTCTGCGAACCTTCAAAGACGCTGTGCCAGCATACGAAACTTTCCATTTAATTTTTTTTCAGGCGGTGTTGGTGGATTGTTTTGTGCAGTATGAAGTGTGCTACATCAGCAATTTACCAATCACCTAATATTGTTTTCATTATGGTCGACGATATGGTTAGTAAAAAAGTATTATAATAAAAGCTTTTAAAAAGTTACTTCGCAAACATCCGCTCTATAAAATAAAATGATGTGTCGTACCTAGTATGAAGAGCACTTCCCGCCCTCCCTCAATTGCGTGCACTATCCCCGTCACCACTAATCCCAGCACCACTACTCCCAACACCACTACACTAGGAAAGACACACCACTGACGACAATACGACACGTGTTTCGCCTCTACACGAGGCATCCTCAGGTGATGTAGACTCTACGGTGGCTGACCATTAATAAATTTTATTTGTAGATGCCAGTTGCAAAAAGGTGTATAGTGTGTTCTACAACAAGAAAAAAAAATTTTGTTTATAACATTAAAAAACAAGTTAACAGTTCAACAAAACTGCAAATAATTCTAAAAAAGCAATATAGACATGCATGGTAACCTATGAGAACTAAGATGTAATGCCTTACAGCCAGTAATTAAACTGGCTCACCCTAGACCCTACCCTTTTTACCGTGTAGTGGCGGTGTAAGAATATTCACTACCCCATCTCATCCCGTGGGTGTCGTAAGAGGCGACAAAGGAAAAACAAATCAGGAGATGAGCTGCAGCATCTTTGTAATGACGACTAAAAATAAAAAAACTCACTTGCCAAGCAAGCAACTATGGCGAATATACCTACTATGAGGAAATCTATGGGGGAGGCCTATGTTTAGCAGTGGACTTTAGACTTTAGGCTGTAGCGGTAACGGTAATCCTACCTTAAGCACAATACAGCAATAGAAACATTGTTACATGGCGGCAGAAATAGGTAAGAGGTACTTTAATGTTTTACGTGTCATCAACCCCTAAAAAGTCCATAGCTGAACATGGGTCTCCCCTGTCCTAATGAAGACAGTATTAGTTGTAATCGCTATATTTCAATTCAAATACTGTACAAGAAAGCGCATCAAAATAATTGGTTTGATAAAAAACATACACAAAAACAACACTAAATAGTTATTTTTTAATTCGACTAAAAAACGAAGAGATTCCATAATGAAACCGTGTAACAGTTATATCAAGTGAAAAGTTTATTATTTTAAAGGTTATTTTGAATTATAAAGATTTCATTTTATAAAGAAGTTTATATTTTAATTTTATGGAAATAATAAATTAAATCTAATAGTTGAAACGCTCGCGCTCCTTCCGGCCCGTCGCATAATAAGTTGTTTGTTCCAAAATTTTCTCAGCCTTAGTGCGTTTTGCTCGACAATTGTAGATGTGAGGTAACATTTTCATCTACCTATCTAGACACCGTTCGTACAACAAGACAGCCTTATCTACCAAACCATTGTAATGGCGACACACTTTTACTACGAGATTCACGAATACACGAAATGTTTGTATCACCACCACCTATCGGAAGCACAACATTTTTTGACTTAACGGGAAACTATGAGCATAATATAGATATTATTACTTATTGCGTGTATCGACATTTTTTTTAAATACAGGGCTATTTTACAATAACCAAATTGTTAGGTGAAAGAAAATATAAAAAAAAATCTCAAAAGTTCTGTCCTTTTTATCTTTGAAATTTAAAACGCACGGTAATGTATTATCTTAACTGATTGTCATTCATAAATATTTAATGCTTACTATTTTATTACGTACGCACACATTCATAAGGGTCGATTGGTCAGTAAAAACGTGTGTGAATTGAATCGCACACACAGGAGCGCGCGTACGCATAGTTGTTGCCCATAAATCACATTCAGTTTGGTATAATATCAAATAAAAGTAGAAACCTTATTTACTCGTATTTTCACACAACAGACACAAGCTAGTAGTACCAGTTTCACACAACAGGAACAGACACAAGCTAGTAGTACCAGTTACTCGACTCCATCGAGTCAGTAATTCATTCTTGGGGCGATGTATACGCTTTTACAACAAAATGCCAGAAAATATACAAAGTTTGACCTGTTCAAAGTTCAAAAACTTTATTAAACTAAGTTTGTATAAAAAGGGTTATTATAATATTAAGGGATTTATGAATGATAATAACCCCTGGAAATGAGGTGATCGCTACCAAGCTATTTCTAATTTGTTGTGTTGTTAATTTGTGTAACATCATGGTTGTAAGCTGTTATTTAAAAAAAAAAGTCCCGCTGGGTTTCTTGCTGGTTCTTTCCAGGACAGAGGTTTTTTCCGAACCAGTGGTAATCAAACAAAAGAGTGACTTTCAATAACTATTATTTATAATCTATATTGAATAAAAAAGTTTCTGTTTCTGTTTCTGTTTCAAAAATTGCAATAATGGTATATCATTGTTTATATATTTGAATTTAAGTTTAAAATTTGGCTACTGTATAGTATATACTTAATGTATACTGTATAAGTAAACTATACTGACGTACATACGTTTGTGTAAGTTCGTGATGTTCGCGTAGATTTTTTTGATGCTTTAGTGAAATTAATAAATAGTTTAGAAAATAAAGTAAATACTCAAATCATCCCTTCAACGGGAGAGACTCAAGTCCATCAGCGAATTTTTACGGTTTGATGATGATGAACAATAAGGAGAAGAAGAACTAGAAGTAGTTGATAAGGTAAACTTAAAACTTAAGAATACTGTCTTCATAAGTGATTGTTTCTTCAGGGTTGGAATGACGTTTCATTTCATGGTTCAGATCAGATAATAACACCTAATATTGACAATTTGGCATATCAGAGCATAATACTTCAACAATACTACAGTGAGGCCATTTGTACTCCGGCACGTACTGCGCTTCTAACAGGAAAATATCCCATGAGACTTGGTAAGTAGCTTAGAGCATTAAACATTTAAAAGATTTTGATTGAAATATTAATACTAAAAAGCTGTTATTATATGATTTTAATTTGAGATTTGACATTAGTTAATCAACACCGATAAATTGAAACCGACTTGATAAATTTATTGCTCATTATTTCGTAGGCATGCACGGTATGCCGCTATTTAACTCAGAAGATAGAGGCATTCCTTTAACAGAGAAGCTTTTGCCCTCATATTTGAAAGATCTTGGATACACAACGCATTTAGTAGGAAAATGGCATGTTGGAATGTCGAGAGAACAATATTTACCTACTTCGAGAGGATATGACACCCACTACGGAATGAGAGGAGGATTTATCGATTATTATACATATAATAAAATTGAAACTGTAAGTATTATATAGATATAATTTTAGAGTTTTATTTGTCAATAATTAAAATAAAAAATGTCAAAACCGTCTTAAAAAACTGAAAAGAATAAAATGGGAAAGTATTTTATATTTTTGTGAGGTTTTAATTACTCGACTCACTATCTTACCAACGACTTTTAAGCTATTAAATTATGTGAGAATTGTTTTATTATTTGAAGCAATAGTAGTTTAATTGTGAAGGTTGTAGACCGCGATTCGGTAAATCATTCGTTTGAATCCGCCATTCGATTACTGTCGGCATCTAATACCAGCATTTTAAGTTTACTTCGAGAGGCTAATGGGAGAACTAGTAATGTTTTTTAAAAAAAATAAAAAAGTAGCTTTAACAATTCCTCAACTTTAATTATTTTACTGCCTTAGCACTCAAAAGTAACAAAAAAAAAAACCTCAATATTGCATAGTCAGTGGATTATGCAATATTGAGTTTTTTTTTCACATCACATTATTAAAGCAACTAGAGTGCTTAATTCTTTTTTATATTTACGCGAACACTTCACATTTAAATAAACTAGTTTTATGGATTTTATCGCGAATATTAACTTATTTTATATTCCTGACGCTTCGAGGACTTTACAGCACCCATGGTCACGGAGTAGGGCCCCCCCCTACTTTTTGAGGTGTTTGACAATTGTACAACGTTCTAATTTCATTAGAGAAGACGGCTGGGTGCTACCATCTGCTTGGGATCCTATAATTAATTATTCTGCAACCATGTGGTAATAATATACTCCATAAATAGGTAGTCCTGGAAACTGGGAGTATAGGTCCCACACGAATTGATTGCTACCCAATTAGAGCACTAAGTAAACATTTTGAGTAAATCTTTTCTGATTACGTCACAATTATCACTGGCTCAACAAACCTGTACAAGATAAAAAGTGGTTGCTATTTATCAATCACTCAGGAAAACGTCTGTGCATAGGATCCTAAGAAACACAGGAAGAAACATTACATAGAATCTTAACTAAATGAACAGAGTTACGGTTTTTTTTTAATATAATAAGGGTGACAAACGGGCATTCAGTCCACCCGATGATAAGTGGTTGCTGTGGCTCATAGACATCTACATCTATCATCGGTTGCGAATTAAAATGCAGATGCGTTGTCAGCCGTGAGGACTAAGATAGAAAGCCTCTGTTGCAGTGAAAGGGTCTCCGGTTCTCTACATTCACGATACGAAACATAGCAGCATTAAGCTGCTATTTTACGCTGGTATTCTGTGAGAACGTGGTCCTTCCCTGGTCGAGCCGACCCATTCGTGCTATAACTATACTATTAATATAACTGCAGCATGGCTCTACCACATAAAAGACTCGGTTACGCGAGGAATCCACATTTTGTTTGACCTTTGGCGCTGGGTTGTGCTTAATTTAAATATGAATAAATATAATATACATGTTTAAATATCTTATGTTGTAGTTTCAAAAACGCTCATTACTTTCTAATTCATAAAAAGTTTTTAACTTAAAACTTCTATAATTTCAGTGGCCAAATGGACGTCAACATTTCGGCTTAGATCTGTTTGATAATGATATACCTCAAGATGAAGAGCAACGTTACATAGTCGATGCACTTACAGATAGAGCAGTTAAAAGTAAGTTTTTTTTTAAACTGTATTAAAGTGACTATTGAGTAAATTGTCAAGATGATGTGACTTAACAGCCCATATGCGTCCCACTTTAGGGCATTCTCTCTCATTTCTGAGAGGATTTTTGGGAAAGAAAATGTCCACCGCGCTGCCCTAGTCCGTGCGGACTTCTTTACGAATCTTTAAATTGCAGGTTTCCTCGCGACGTTTTACTTCACCGCCAAGCACATGATAAATCAGTACTTAATACTGCAGTGATCAATTTAATTGGTGCCAGCGGGTATCGTATCCGGGTTGCTTGCGTATGATATTTATGACGAGCACTAAGCGCCTGAGTTATCACGGATCAACAAAGACAATAATTGAAACTGATGGTTAGTGGTGAATTGATAAGCTTCAGCTCATAGACATCTGAAACAGCTTTAAAAGGGATACAGTCTTGTCACTACTGGGGAAATAGACGGAGAAATTTTGTCTAACAACCCGTAATTTAATGTATTTGAATGTGTAAATTTTTATAAATGTTGGTAATTATAAGACTGTCTTGGAAATTTACTACAAAATAATCATAGCGTTTGAGTTTTTAAATCGGTGTTTCAGTAATCAGACGGCACAACAGCTCATGCCCACTATTTTTGCATGTGACTCACAATGCGCCACACGCTGGTAACGATGGTGCTGCGCTTCAGCCTCCATTGTATTCATCAGTTAGACATAGACACATTGCCAACTCTAATCGGCGATTATACGCAGGTATATAAACAATAGATATTCATGTCATGGTAATAATTAATTTAATAGAAGAGTTTTTAAGAAATTTCTTGCTAAAACTATGTTCTTATTTTGTTTTGCAGAAGTAGTCTCAAAAGTTGATCAAAGTGTTGGTGAAATAGTAAAAGCACTTTCAGATATGAATATGCTAGAAGATACAATTATAATATTTGCTTCAGACAATGGTGCGCCAACTCTTGGTGATTTTCCTAATTGGGGGGTGAACTTACCATTTAGAGGAAAGAAAAACACGCCATGGGAGGGTGGGGTGAGAGTTCCAGCATTTATTTGGCATACGTCATTTAGACCTAAAGTATGGACTGGGTTGATGCATATAACCGACTGGATGCCAACTTTAATTGCTGCTGCAGGGGGTACAATCGATAAAGAGATCGACGGCGTAGATCAATGGCAGTCTATGATTCGAGATGCAAAATCTTTAAGAAAGGAAGTTCTTATAGCTGTTGAAGATAGCGATAGAAATGTTTATGCCGCATACAGAGCCGGGGATTACAAAATCGTTGTAGGAAATGTATCTGGTTTGAATAATGGTTATTATGGAGAAAATTATATGGCAATCAAAAGTCAAACACCAGAATACTTTCCGCTATTGCAAAACTGCGAAGTTGCGAGAGTCTTTGAGAAAATAGGAATATACTTACATCGTCAGGAAGTCATGGCTACGAGAAGAGCGACCACAATAAAACCGCAAGGACCAGTGACAAATGTTACACTTTGTGAACCAACGCCAAGTACGTAATTATTATAAGTCCGTATAAATAATTTTGGAGCTTGGTTTTTAAATTGGATTTGTAGTAAAATAAGATAACTGCTTGCTAGCTCAGTGGCTAAGCTGGATTTATCCTGCGGTCCAGGTGGGATAAATTTCGCACATAACGATCACACGATTAGTAATAACAATGCCAACTAGTAAATAAGTGCAACGGGAGAGGACCAGCAGCGGACTCTTTTAGTTGTAAAGTTAATTTCGAGTAAATAACCATGCAGTTCATGGACACTAAGGTCGTCACTCGAGAATCATTTTTCCCTATCGTAAATTTATGTTACGATCATAATTCAATTCGATAATTCGAATTATTATCTATACTTATTGAGAATTGGAGGTCTCCATGACCGGGAGTGAACTAATTATTAACTGATAACGAGGATTAATCATTACTACTTGTAATTGTAGAGATAATTATTGTTGGAAAATATCACATGATTAAATGCTAATTTATAGCTATTGAAATTATTATTTTCAATTTCAGCTCGCGGTTGCCTTTACAATATACTTCAAGATCCAAGTGAAAGGCGAGATTTATGGGAAAAAGCAAATAACATTGCAGTCATGTTAACCAGCAGACTTAGAAGCCTTTGGTCCATGCAGCAGAGGAGGGGTCCATTAGTTTTAAGCTTGGACTCTGATCCTGTTAATTTTAATTACACTTGGAGGCCTTGGATTAATGACAGGAATGGATCGGATTTAAATGAAGTTAATACTAGACATGAAAGTATAAAAAGTGACGGCACATTCGATAAGAATTCTCAGACCTCAGATAAGAAAACTTATCCGAAGTTTAACGATAGAAAGATAAATTACAAAAACATTACGATGGCTACCGTTGTTAATTGTGAAGGTGCTACTGTTATAAGAAACTTTTTGTGCATTTTAAGAAGTGTTTTTTAGTTGTTAACTTAATTTATGTTTTAAATATTTTTTAAGACTTGAGTGTAAAGTAAAGAAAACCATTTTTGAGGTTTTTGGTATATTTTAGTACATTATGCATTTTGAGTTTGGATTGCAAAACGTAACAATAATAGTGATAGCTGTAGCCAAGATCTTCTTCTCTTAAGGCTATACTATAAATGATTTTTCTTGTTGTGAATTTAATTATTTTCAGAAAAGTATTGTTTCGGGTTCTTGATGTTTTGAATATTTTATCTGATTGTTAAAATATATAAGGACATACACTAATTGATGGGTCTGTGGCGCAATTGTTTAGCAATTGAGTTGCAGTGCTAAGGGCCGCGGGTTCGAATCCCACACGGAACAAGTACAAATAATTGTTCCGGGTCTGGAAGTTTGTCCTTGTGCAATTTATGTTTGTAAACTGCCCCCACGATACAGGAGAAAATCTTAGTGCGGAGGTTACGTTAAAAAAAGAAAAAAAGAAATACTTTAGCAACGCGGTGAACTATACGGCAGGTAGGGGATGTACTTATGCTATGTATCTATTGACCAAATGTTAAAAACTTATGTATGTATTTACCAAAATGTAGCATGTTATGCCACCGATAGTTCCTGTGTTATTTAAAGTTGGAAGAAGATAGTTTTATAAGATTTAAAATGTAAATACCTACGATGATGTATGTCATATAACAATGACGATTTTAGTGTAATTTTAAAGAGTTTAAGTTTTGTGTTTGTGATTGCGTCATGAAAATGATGTGTCTTGAATGTGAAAATTGAAACTCTTGTTGTGTGAATTTTTAGCCCACCACAAACATAAATATAAAAGAAGTTCCAAGAACTTCTTACATTTCTAGAAATCCTATGCTATAATCAACTGCTATTGAGCTTGGCACCCCTTTAGATCTCAACTCTTTCGTCGAAGTCGGCAATCTCGAACGTCGTTTTAGCCCTCCTTTCAAACTTATGTTATTGGTGGGATATGATTAATTTTTGATAAAGGTTTTATGCTTTTATTAATGTAAATAAACACATGAGCTTTAACGTATTTCTTTGCGTTTATGCTTAATTTTATTGAAGTTATATTTCTTTTGAGGCGTTTGGAAAATATGATGAGAGTGAATTTTTACGATGCGCGCGCACACCGACACCTAAAAACGACACCATGAAGTTGTTACGATGCGCGCGCATTCTGACACCTAAAAGCGACAACTTCAGGGGCTAATGGTCTCTCGAGTTTTTTTTGTTTTGTTACGCTAAAGAAGTATAACTTTCTTCGTGCGTACATAAGTACACACACACTTTTTTTTAAATCTTCCTATTTTTAATATTTTAGGAAAAAAATCTAAAATGAATGTATCTAAAACATGAATCACTTTCGCGAGGTTGATTATAATCAAATTCGATGAAAGTGCTTCATGCCCGTTGCAGATTTTAAAAGTTGAATTGGGATGTACCTACTTTACTATCGATACAAATTCTAAAACAATAATTTTGATAATGATTTCTTATATTTATTTACGCGAAGACCACACATTAAATGAAACTAATTTTTACGAATTTTTTTAATTTTACTTTTTATTTCCCAACGTTTCGGGTGTTTTACAGAGCCCATGGTCACGGGGGTACTGAGGTGTTTGATGTCTAATGTCATAGTTAGCCCGGCTAACTTCAGTTTTTTAATATTAATTTTTGATTCGCTCTACGCAGAATGAGCTTACAGTATCTTGAATGCTTGCAGTGGTGTACTTGACTTAGTTTTAATTTTAGGATCCCAAGCAGATGGCAGCACTCATTCATCTTCTCTATTAAAAATGGGATGTTTTTTAATTTAAATAGCATCGCGAATCATCCTTGTTAGGAATCGGTGTTCTTTCGCGAGGATTTGTGGTCTATCAAATTTAATGTAATGGCGGGGACGATCTTGAACATGTACACACACTGCAGACTTCCCGGAACGTCGGTGCTTCAAGTCAGCTATATGTTCTTTCACGCGGGTTTTTATAGATCTTTTTGTTTGTTATATGTAAGAGAGACCACATTCACAATCCAGCTTGTACACTCCTGCATCTTGTACAGGGATATGACACTTGACGGATGGTAAAAATTGACTATTATTCTTCGGCGGCTTGAAGTATGTTTTAATGAAAGCTCTCTTCAAGATGTAGTCAGCCTTGTCTGTAACTCCTCTGACATAGGGTAATAGCCAATAAAATTCGCTGATTAGAAGATCTCAAGACTAAGCGCGCAAGATATATAACATCTTTAAATTTGTTGAAGAGATGCAGATACATAGTCTCATTCCTACGTGCGTTAAAATATCAACAAAAAAGGACATTCGAGGAAGCGCTAAGAGCTTAAATCAGGCAAGTAAAAAGTTGTTGCGAACGGTCATTCAGCAAAAACGATTCGATCTACAATTCATAAATAATATCGTACACAACCTGCCCAGTGAGTTAAAGACAGTTTTAACGACATTTGATTTTAATATTGCATTGGAACTTTAAAAAACGCGAAACATCGAAATATAATGAATGCAAAAATAAACAAATAGAAAAATACCAAAAATCAACAATCAAATCAAATGCCAAACATCAAGGTCAACGTAGAAACAAAACGCAACCGTTGACTATAGACGCAAACAATAAACAACGCACGGTCTACAACCTGTAAAAACAAACACTGGACGAACCTACAATAAAAGTATTTTGACAGGCCTGTTGGTCTAGTGGTTAGTGACCCTGACTGCTACGCCGGAGGTCGTGGGTTCGATTCCCACCCAGGACAAATATTTGTGTGATGAGCACGATCATTTGTTCTGTGTCTGGGTGTAATTTATCTATAATATTTATGTATTTAGAAATATATAAGTATGTTTATCAGTTGTCTAGTACCCATAACACAAGCTCTGCTTAGCTTGGGACTAGATGGCGTTGTGTGATAGTTGTGGAATATTATTATTATTATGGGGTATTTGTATAGTTTTCTCATCTGGTTGGGCTGTATAAATATATAATTGTAAATGAAAATGATAAACTTACATAAATATCAATAAAATAAAATAAATACATAAAAATTACATAAATATATAAAAACCCAACCAGATGGAAGCCCTCGGCAGGGGAGACCAAACGGCCGAGGGTTAGGGAGAAAGGGAAAGAAACCGGCGGACGATGCGGGCGGTATCGAGGAGCACCGCCTTCTGCATTTGAGCTTGGAGCGATCCGTCACGGAGTCCCAGTCGCCTCAGATGACCCGAGAGGCTGACTGGGATTAACCCGTTCGCAGAGACGACCACAGGAATAATTTCGGCCGGCAGACCACCCCACATGTCGGTCACCTCGTGAGCCAGGTCCAGATATTTTGTCAACTTATCTGTTTCGGCTTTCACGAGGTTCTCGTCATAAGGAATGGTAATGTCGACCAAAAATATCCTTGACTGTGCCCGGTCCATCAGCACAATATCAGGCTTATTCGCAAGAATAGTCCTGTCCGTGATGATGGCCCGGTCCCAGTAGAGCCTGGCGCGGTCATTTTCGAGCACGGCTTCCGGCAAGTAATTATAATATGGCAGTTTCCGATCCACGAGACCGTATTTCAGAGCGAGCTCCTGGTGTAGAATCCTGGCTACTAGGTTGTGTCTGTGCAAATACTCAGAGTTAGAAAGCGCCGAACAACCGGAGATGACATGCCTAAGTGACTCACCGGGATGGCGACAAGCTCGACAGATGTCGACGGCGCCATCCTTTAGGATGTATCTCCGATAATTGTTGGTCTTAATAACCTGATCCTGTATAGCACAGACAAAACCCTCGGTTTCCCCAAAGAGGTCACCGAAACGTAGCCAGTGGAGGGAGGCGACTGTGTCTACGCAAGGCTCATGTAGAGCCTTGTAGAACCTCCCGTGGAGCTCCTTCTCCTTCCATACGGTCTCCCGGTCGGAAATGCTCTGTACTGCCGGGTCTTGCCATTGCTCGTTGGCTAAGGATAGAGGGGTAAGTCCTTTATCACAAGAAATAACGTCCCTATAGAATGGATCATCCGCTCTCGTCAGAAAGTAATTACGGAGGCTGCACACTTCGCGATTATGCATGGTAAGCGCGCTTAAAAAGCCGCGCCCACCATGCTTCCGCGGCAAGTACAGCCTCATTACTGACGATCTCGGATGATGCATCCTGTGGGACGTCATTATAGTGCGGACTTTTCTGTCCAGAGCGTTCAGTTCGGTCTGAGTCCACCTGAGCATGCCAAAGGTATACATGAGAACAGGCATGATCCAACCGTTATATGCATGTGTCTTATTAACGCCCGACAAAAGACTGTTGAGCACTTTTGTCAAGCGTGCATAAAACACACCGCAAACTGACCGTTTCATGTCCGCCTCATCGATACCTATGTTCTGTGACATACCCAGGTATCGGTATGTTTCAGCCTCGGATAGGGTCTTTATGTTGATGGGCATAGATAAGTCTATGCCCTCAGAGTTAGCAACCCTACCCCTTTCGACATGGAGGATCGCACACTTGTCCGTCCCCAGCTCCATTCTAATAGAATTGCTAAAATCACAAGTGATGTTTAGCAATTCCATAAGATGAGAGCGACTGGAGGCGAATAACTTGAGATCATCCATATAGAAAAGGTGGGTCACTTTTGTACCTCCTCTCCGAAGCTGAAATCCCCTCCCGGAACCCTCCAGTAAGGTACTAAGAGGGTTCAGAGAGAGGCAGAACCAGATTGGACTCAGACAATCGCCCTGGAAGATACCCCTTCTTATCCTTATGTGGTTCTCCGCAGCCGTCATCCGCTCGCCTAGATGACAAAGGATTGTACTCCACTGCCCCATACACTGCCCGAGGAAGTCTCGAACTGTACAGTCAACCTTGTACAGCTCGAGGACCCTCTTCAGCCATGTATGAGGCACCGAGTCGAATGCCTTTTTGTAGTCTATCCAGGCGGCGGAGAGGTTCCGACGGTTGCGTTTAACCACCTTGCCAATG